AGCTAAAAAGATATATATATATATATACATCAAGTGCATCTACATATAAATAAAATTCTAACGTAACGTTAAAGCACGAGAAGAGGAAGCGTATCGTATAAAAAAATCGTCCTACACGGCAATTAGTTTGGTATAAGACGAGTAGCGTGCTTCGTGAACGAAACGATAGAGAATTCAACGGTCTTAATAAGGTCGTGTACCTTATCGCCCTCCAGCTGAGTTTGAACCTCGAAAGTAACACGGACGGAAAGTGAACAGAGTGACGTGTAGCGAAGAAGTACACGTGACGTTTAACGAAGTGCACAGCACAAAACTGACTCTCGCACACAACTAACTCATCTTTTTCTGTTCACTCAATTTTTCTTCTTTCTTCCTTTTTCGCGTATTATACCACATACATACAATAAGGCAGCTGTGCGGTCACAGAGAAAATGACCGTAATTTCGATCATTCTTCTCTTTTTGAAAAAACAAAAAGAGAGAAAGAGAGAGAGAGAGAGAGAGAGAGAGAGAGAGAGAGAGAAAATAAAAGCATATAGTTGAAGAGGCAAAAGACTCGCCACGAAAATAACAAAAAACTTTTTTGCTTTTCCTCTTTCTCCTCTCGCTCACGTTCAAAAACGAGATTAGATAAAGACGAGCTTGTCGTCTTTTCTTCTTTCTTTTTACCGCCTTTCGTTCTCTCTTTCTCTCTCTCTCTCTCTTCGTTTTTTCTTCTTCCTATTCTATCTAGTTCTCCTCCGTTTGTTCCTAATTGGAAAGCCCGTTTCCCCTTTCGAAGATCCCTCTACTCGTTTCGACCATTAACCTTAACCTTGGATCGTGGATTTAACCTCGATTCGACTACCGAACTAGCTTTCCTTCCTTTCTACAATCTTTCTCTCTGTCTCTCATTTGTACCCTTCCTTTTTTTCCTTTCAACCCTTACTTTAGGTTAAATATGGAAAGCTTCTGTCATTCGTCAGAATTTCGGCAAAACATCATCTCACCCTTTCAAACCTCGACCTTGACATTCCAAAAGAAAGATTTCGATTTACTCAGAATATATTCTATATCCGATGCGAAAATTTTCGACGTTCGAAGTAAGTACTTAGTTACTTACGACGTTGGAGACGACGTTGACGGAGATACGGTTGAGGTTGTTAGTCACGGCTCGTTGAAAAATTAAAACCGAGGCAGCATTAATGCTTTCGGTGAGTGACATCGAACGAACTTTGATGTTCCATTCCTTTCATTCTGATCGACGATACTTAAGGTAGATAGGCAGATATAATTATTCTCAAAAGAGAACAAAGTGATAATTAACGAAATGAAAGACGTATGAAATGTTTATAAAAAAAAAAAAAGTTAAAAAAAAAGAAAAAAGAAAAAGTGAATAACAACGATTAAATGGATATTAGCGATGTCGGAGTAACTTAATCGAAACGATTTATGATGATAAACTTTGATGGGACGTACGACCAAGAGGGGGATTTACTTTGTTTGAAGATAAAATAAAGAAAACACTTTCGAGTTCTTTGAAAAGAAAAAGTTATCGCGACGGGACAGGACATTTTCACGCTCGTCGTTAAGTACCTACCACAAGGAATAAGAGCAGACCGTCTCGTCTCGTCTCGTCTCGTCTCCTCTCGTCTCGTCTCGTTTCGCACCCTTCGGCCCTTCCTTCCTTGGCGCCTAATAAAAGCAACCTTCCGAAAGTCGCTACTCCTTGTTCTCACCCTCTTGAAATCCAAAGACTCGAAAAGGAAAGATTTCGTCCCTTCTTATATATTTTTTCCCTTCTCTTTTCTAACACATACACACACATACACACGTATATATATATATATATATATATATTTTCTTGATCCATCTAAGTCGCGATCGGCAAACGAGCGTTCTCGACGAACTACACTTCTAGAGGGGTCCAACGAAAGAAAAAGAGAAAGAGAGAGAAAGGAAAGAAGTAGAGAAAGAAAAAAGGTCTTCAGCAACGCGCGAAGATCATCGAAATTCCAGGGCCGTACTTCTCTCTCAGAAGGGAAATACTCGCGTAGGAGGGTGGAGGCGAAAGCAGACGGGGATTGATTGGCTCGTGTCTCTGGGGTTAACGCAAAGGCTTTCTCTCTCTCTCTCTCTCTCGTACTCGGTATTCACAAAGGGGACCCATATGCGAGCACGCAAAGTCACATGCACGCGTGAAAGCGCCTACCTATATGCGCGTGCATCTATATGCGTATATGCGTGCTATACTCACGCACGAAGGATTGTTACTGCTGGAACGCCATCTGTGATGTGTGCGCGCGCGCGCCCGCGCTCCGATGCACATAGGCGTGGAGAAACTCGTAGATGAGAGAGAGAGAGAGAGAGAGAGAGAGAGAGGGAGAGACAGACAGACGAGCCGTCGCTGCGATGGTGGGCCCATTGTTACGGCTATTATTTGCCACTAATCAGAATGTGTGGTCTCTGACGTGGATCCCCGAAGCTGTGTTCGTACGCGTGAATACGGGAAGGGAGGTTCTCTAGGGGGTGTGTGAGTGTGAGAGAGAGAGAAGGAGAAAAGGGAGAAAGGGCGAATCCACTTTAGAGATGGCTCGTGCTTTGGCGAACGACCTCATCGTAGCGCACGATAGTCGAGCACGCGTCCCTGTTGCCAGTGCCGGTTGTGGGCGCTGTTGTGGGTGGCTCACTCAGACCGACCTCCACAACCTGCCACCACGCCCTTTACAACGATGAAGATTTTCAAGATATCCGACGTGTCGACCGCGATACTCAGCTCTTGGCTATGCGAATCCGTTGTCCGCCACAATTTCCTATTCTTTCTTGCTAGTCTTTTCCAATTTTCGTAAGGTCACTTATAATTCTATTAAAAGTGACCTTACGAAACCTTCATATATATATATATATATATATATATATATATATATATATGTATATATATATATATGCATGCATGCATGTATGTATATATGTATGTATATATATCCCCTAATACCTTATCTATTTCTAGTTGAGTAATTACTCGTACTATTTTGATCGTTATTAACAAATATTAATAATAATACATATAATATTGATGCTTTTATTAGTATGATATTACTCTCTCAATAATTTATAGTTTTCAGGTTGTATAAATTATGCAGGGTTTGAATAATTCAAGAGAATTTCATGGTATATATTTAATGAAATTTTACAAAAGTGATTTTCAATACGAAACCTTACGAATAATGTTTATTTTATTTTGTTGTAATCATCAACCCATAAATATTATGAATATAATAATAAAAGAGAAAATATTAAAAGAGCTTTTGTATATTTTCACAAGATATGAATTTTTATTAGATATAAATCGAAAGTTAATTTGAGTAATAGGATCTGATTTTAACGAGCTTTCTCTCTTTCACTTTCTCTCTCTCTCTCTCTCTCTCTCTCTACTTCTCGGTCTTTCCATCAACGTAACAATTTTATCAGGCAATGCTCGAATTTATTACCAACGCGTTATCTCTAACGCAACTGTAAACGGTGGTCGACGATAGCAGCGAATAGAAAGGCTTCGAAAAAAGATGACTTGAGTGATCTGAGTTAAACTGTGATTGAAGAATACGCGTAAGCGCGTTTACAAAGAGGAAATGTTACGGCCGAGAAAGCCGATCGATCGCGTTTATCGCGCCTCCTTAAAATTCAAACGAATCGTGCGGTAAACGAGACTTTTATCGCTCGCCATTTCCACAAGGCGTTCCTGCATTGTCGTCTATAGGTTTCTTCGCTATGGGTATACCTATATTCAGTCGCGTTCATGGAATTTGAACTTTTAGATTCGGTTAGAGTCTACTTTACCTGGCAAATTGTACGCGATGTAGATTTTATAGACACCGTTTTAAGGGAAAGAAAAAGAGAAAAAGAAATGAGAAACTCTTTTCTCTCCAAAAAAAAAAAAAAAAAAAAAAAAAAGAAAAAAAAAAGGAAAAAAAAAGAACAAGATGAATATCCAAAGACTGTATTAGCTGATTAATTATAGTGATAATCAATCAATGTAGAAGAGGAAAGAGATTAACCGAAGCAAAGTTATAAGCGACATTTTTAGTTTCTAAAGGCCTATTCATTTTGACACCAGGTATAAAAAGAAAAATCTGACACATCGTGAAAGAACAAAAGAAGATTTCGTCGTTGACCAACCACCATCAGCATCGTCGTCGCGGTTGGTCTCTCTCTCTCTCTCTCTCTCTCTCTCTTTCTCTTTCATTCTTTCATTCTCAAGATGAATGAAAGGAAAGACGAAGATAAAATATTCAATGTGTATGGCCATTAGGCCGAAGACAACGCAGGCAAGGGATCAGAGAGTACGAGCGAGAAATGCGAAGGCGTTGCTTGTCGGTGAAGACTGTTTTTAGACGGGATGGTCGAAAGCTGACGTCATCGGTAGGGAGCTCACGAACGAAATAATTAGCGGGGCCGGCTAAGAGCTTTCTCTCTCTCTCTCTCTCTCTCTACCTCCTCTCGACAAACGCACCCTAAGGCGCGGACTGGCTCCCTTATCTGCCTTCTCCCTGAGCCCCTCAATGAGCTACCTTATTGGTGCGTTATACTCCAAGAGAATTCTCCTTTTGCTTCCTCGTATGTTTCGTCAAATTAATCCATTCTCGTCTTTGTGAATGTTATAGAACGTTTAAAATATTCTATAGAATGTTTTAGTTAACATTTGCATCAAATCGAAATCATTAATTTAAATTTCAAATACATTAACATATAGTTTGATTCTCATTTAATATCTACTATAATAACTAGTATGTATAATTATTAATTAGAATTTCCGTATGGCTACGTAAGTTCTTTCTACTTTCACTCCGATAGTTTTCGGTCGAACGATCGCGCGTTAATGACACTGAAATAAATAAGAACGGCTTTCCCTTTCGCTTCCATCCTACGGGTGTAATAATAACCACGGTGGATCGATTTCGATTCAATGGCAAGAGCACTTTAGAGAGAACCTTTAGACACCGGGATACGAGATTAATAACTCACCCTCGATGAGTAGGGTCGAACGCTTCGGTGATGTCGTTGGGGAGATTCCTCCTTTCGTGAACTCTTCTGAAACAATAGAATACGCTTGGTTAATAAACTCTTTTCCGTACACCCTCAGAACTCTTGGTTACATTATTTAATCCATTCGATAAAACATATTTTGGTTGGATCGAATTAAAAAAAAAGAGAAAGAAAGAAAAAATAGAACAAAATTAAAGAATACGCTTGATAAAACTCCTTTTCGTATATCCCTCGAACTCTTACTTGCATTATTTAATCCGTTCGTTAAAAGATATCTTAATTCGGTCGAATTAGAAAAAAAAAAAAAGAAAAATTCGTTTGTAAGGAGAATTTGAAATAATTAGTTCGAAGATAGAATGCAATCATAGTCGGTATCGGTGTCGAAAGAAATATAATATTAGAGGCAAGTACAAGAGGAGATCAGAACGACTACGTTCTACGTTCAGATGGAATTGCAACGGACAGTCGGTGTGGGTTCAGTACCGTCAACGGGAAATGCCGTTTCTCCTGAGCGTTCTCCACACACCATTAATTCGATAGTTTCGGCACGGACACGTCCGAAGAGAATGTTCCGGAATTTTAGCCAAAGTGTTTGCTATATAGATGTGGTACAAGCCCGCAACCGGACTTCGTTGCGGACAGCTAAGGCTTTCAAGATTTTTCGATCGTTCTGACAACTGTGAGAAAGATATATATATATATATATATACATGTCTGTTACACACACACATCCACAAACGTCAGTTTGTTGGTATGAGTAGATTCTCGTGGTTTACCGATACACGAAATTCTGCACGTATACGCGCGTCTTTCAGGAAATGCATATATTTTATGCCGGATGCATCTCCTCTCGCAGCTTCGAAATATCGCAGCCTTCGTCGTACCGAGAAGCGTAATCTCGTCTAGCGATCGATCCCAAAAGAGCGAAAGAGAGAGAGAGAGAGAGAGAGAGAGAGAGAGAGAGAGAATAAGAGAGTAAGAGAGTTGAACGATGTTTCGTGATGTTTCCACACTGTTATTTCGTTGGCGATGTTATATCATTATGATGAATGTCGAACAACTTTCTTACCCGGATTATAACGATCCTATGATTATTTTCAATCGCATTTCTTTCTCCCCTTCTTGTTATTTAAAGTTGTTATAAAATTGATCATATTTTTCTGAATTGTCGTCGATATTTTAATTCGTCAGATCTATTTCTCGTTTCGTTCTCATAGAAAGAGAGAGAGAGAGAGAGAGAGAGAGAGGGACAGAGAGAGAGAGAGTGAGAAAGCGGAGAGGGTGGTTGGGTGAGTGGGTTTGAATCTGATGGCGAGGGAATAAAAGGGGGCGTGAGATCAGAGTATAGTGATTTACGATTTAAGCATAATGCGATGCAGGATATATGATTTATGCGCGATCTGTATACAAGCAACGATTTACATATACCTATCTACCTACCTTCCTTCCTTCCTACCTGCCTGCCTGCCTGCCTGCCTGCCTGCCTGCTTGCCTGCCTACCTATCTATCTATCTATCTACCTACCTATCTACCTATCTCCCTATCTATGTACGTACCTACGTCTCTAATAATCTCTTGATCGAGCGAATGATTTAAAACGATATTTTATTCGCGATTAGGATTCTTCGTACGATAAATCTCTGTCGTCTTCCTTCAATAGACTACTGGTTACGTGTCGATAGATTTTTCATCAAAATCGTGCAATAATTTCTCTCTTGCCGATATTAAATACGTACACGTGAAATACGTATTGATTATTTTCTATCTATGTACGTATAATAGTTACCACGATTACTTATTACCATTGATATCGATGTATTGTTAGAAAAAAAAAAGAAAAAAAAAAGGAAAGAAGAAAATAAAATGAAAGATAAAGAAAGAGGGAGAGAGAGAGGGAAAAAAAGAGAGAGAAAGTAGTAATACGAAGCTTAGCTATTACCGGCTGATATTTCAGTCGAGACAGTATTTAAGGATTAAATGCGAGAAAGTAGGTACGAAATTTTTAAAAGCTGCTCCTCCCTTTTCATATCCCGTTTCTCCTATGACTATATTTATCTTCTGAATTGAGTGTCTTGTACAGTGACACGTCAAGTTCATTTACTTGCTCCTTATTTATTTATTTCTTTTTTTTCTTCGTATTTCTTTTTTTCCTTTTTCTTTTTCATCTTTTTTTCTTTTATTTTTATAGATTTTTCAATCTAATATTATACGATACAGGAACGTCAAGAACGTCCTGAAATTCCAATGAAATTATTCATAGTTCGCTTTACGTCCAGATAGATGTCTCAGGGTGCACACGAGCTCAAGAATGATTCGAGAGAATGAAGCAAGAACATTTTTGGGACATCCAGGACCGATTTCGATGCCGAAATCGAATCGATCCATGGCTGCTTTGAATTCCTATGATATTAGATATCGTTTCTCGATGAGAAGAACGTTATCGTTTCAAGCCGACTATTCGCTTCTCAGATTAGAGCGA